GATGCCCACATGTGTTTCTTTCCATCATTGATAGGAATACTTAAAGTGACATTAAACCCTCAGATTTTTTAACATTTTTTGAACCAATACTGTAATGTGCGCCTTACTGTAATCCATGGTAGTTTCCCTTCTCTTTGCAGCTCTTCCTTTAAAATCTGTATCTGTTCTCATGCTTGGGGAGAACTTCTGTTTTGCAGCAGACTGCCTTGTCTCAGGAATGGGTACACGGTGTCTGTGTGCAGGTTCACAACCTGAGCCAGCACTACAGGAAGAGGCACTCAGCTGCAAAGGGAAGTTCTCCCCAAGCATGAGAAGACATGAGGATTTAAAAGGAAGAGCAGCAAAGAGAAGGGAAACAACCATGGATTACAGTAAGGCGCACATTACAGTATTGGTTTATGTTACAAAATCTGAGGGTTTAATGTCACTTTAATATTAAATAAGGTTATATATACTTCATCACAAAACATAAAGTAGGCACAATCTTATTTATGGTCTTTATGGTCCTATTCTAACGTAGGATGGGACCAGGAAAGCAAGAAGATGTCCTGTATAAATTAGGTGGGTAGCTTGCATCAAAAACTACAAGAGCAGAGACTGGAACTCAATGAAATGGCATTTTCGCCGATGGGCCATTATGGTCAATTTATTTGGAGAATTATAAACAGGATTCTGCTCGGTCGGCTCGCACTCACATTCTTGTGAACAAAATATAAAGTTCTCTTTATTAGATTATAAGCAAAAAAACCTCAATCTCTTATGTTTTCACTCTCACGCAGCGTTGTCTGGTCTGGGGTCCGCTGCAGATAACTCTGTGTGCGGCACCCCGGGGGTCTCCGGTAGAATTGTTGGAGGCACGGATTCTGTGGAAGGCGAGTGGCCCTGGCAGGTCAGCCTCTACCTGGCCGGTCGGCCTATTTGTGGCGGTTCCCTGATCTCCTCACAATGGGTGCTGACTGCAACGCACTGCTTCTCTCAGTGAGTATTCTGATTTGTATTTTCAATCTATGATAACATCTTTTTGGTGAGCTACAGATTCCCATTGGTTGCTTGTAGTAAAGGGAACCTGTGGCCAAGCTATGGACCTTCACATATTTGCATGGTCTTAAGGAACAGTGAAGAAGCTTAGAAATAGAAAATCCATCACTGAGCTCTGTAGCTATAGTCATTGTGGAGAAAGTCATCCCCAAGGGCAGTGACATTTCAGCTCCTTCCCCCATATTTGTCAGGGACTTGGCAGCCTGTCCTCAGTCCTCTGATGTAAACAGCCAGCGCGTGCTGTAAGCTATTAGAAACGAACTGAAAAAGGGTCTTTGTTTTGAGCTTTGAGGATAAATTACTCCACTGTTCCTGCAGCTACAGAAGTCAGTGATAGCTTACTTTAAACCTCATTTACTGTTTGTTAGGAATATGTACATTTTTTGTGGCAGGAGCCAGCAACCCTTTCCACATTAAGTGTCAACTTTATGACAGGATTCAGCAACTTATTCCACATTAAATGTCAATTTACAAGCATTCAACATCGGACATGCCAGTGGACAGTAGCACAGTGTAGAGTTCAGTCCCTATTCCTGCCCCATCAGAAATACCAGGGTTTTACATCCCTACTTGCTTTGACTGATTGTTCTCCTAGAACAGTGGTGGCGAACCTTGGCACTCCAGCTGCGCCAAAACTACAAATTACAACATGCATCTGCCTCTGGGAGTTATGTCTGTGGCTGTCAGAGCCTTGCAATGCCTCATGGGACTTGTAGTTCCAAAACAGCTGGAGTGCCAAGGTTCGCCACCACTGTCCTAGAAGGACGAAGAGGGTAGGCGGGCTACTGTAGGTGATGATGTCTGCAGCTAAAGGTGGGCTTACACTGTTACTGGGAGGAGGACTGGCAACTGAACATCAGGTTGGTCCCTGTGAAACATCATGGAGATGGGTGGGCTGTGGGCGCAGAGGGCCAGGTCAGGCTTTGTAATTGACAGCCTAGTGAGCTGTCAATTACAGCCTTTGGCAGCAGCCCTGTACTAGTAAGGATCGGAGGCCCTCTGGAGGATCTTAAAAAGTGGGGATGGACAAATCTCCCCTGCCGGGATATTTTCTTCTGACACCCACGGCTGCCTGTTGATTGGCTCTCATCACTGTCCAGTCAACAGCTTTCCACCTGGCTCCTTTGACTAACGTCAAGTGATTATTATAATTTTGTTAAGTTTTTATGGTGGTGGCAGGGCTACATACAGCTCGTCGGAGTCAGTAGGCCTTGAAGGAAATTTGGGCAGTGCATGGCCAGCTTATGTTTAGTTTGCATCATTACCAAACAGTTGCTGTGACAAGATCAGCTCTCAGGAAATGTTTTGTACTTTGTACACACGCACGCACGCACGCACGCACGCACGCACGCACGCACACACAGTATATACTGAACATTTACTCATATAGGTATGGTAACTCTGGAAATTAATTAAAAATATGGTCATGGCATGTCTTTTATCCCAGGTCAAAACTGCCAGAGGATTACCAAGTTCACCTTGGCCTGCACCAGCTGGATGTGAATACACCTCATATGGTTGTTTCCGACATAGAAACTATCATCTTAAACAACCAATACACCAGCACGACGTCCATCGGGGACATCGCTCTGGTGAAGTTGGCCTATCCTGTTACTTATAGTCAATACATCATGCCCATCTGTCTGCCATCTTCCTCCGTCATCTTCCCCTGTGGCATGGATTGTTGGGTGACCGGCTGGGGTACAACATCGTTTGAGGGTAAGTTGGTCAGACTACAAAGGTTGGTCTCAAAGATCAATGCATTTTAAGATAATAACTTTTTCTGGTGAACTTATACAAGCTTCAGGATATCCAAGACTTCTCCAGAACATGAGCATGAGGCTCAATGTGTTTTGTTGGAGGCTATACACCAACTTTTCTTCAGCATTTCTCATTAGATTTATAAATGATGCCTCTCCTGCTTTATTATTTGTTGACTGGACTGTGGCTCATTTTGTATCATTGATGATGAATTTTATCAAATGTTCATTATTACTTTACAGAGGAAATTGTTTGGTGAAGACCACATGGGCTGCTTTCTTCTCCAGTTCCATGAGGAAACCATCTGGTGTACCCCTCCTGTAGCCCAATCTTTCATGGTCGCCCACAAATCCTGGCAGTGATTAGGTTTCCTTAATTTTCCTGGACGCTAAAATGCTTTGTTTAAAGACCTGCAGAGAATGTGTCGACCTTTTGCTGATTCCTCATGTCCACTTCCAGCTGTTTATAGAGATCCTTTACATGACCAAATAGCAAATATTTTTTTCTTTTGCAAAAGTAAGAATCAGATGTATACTATACAACGTATTCCGTTACTTCCCATTCCCATAGCAGTCTACAAGATGTGATGACGACAATGATTATTATTATTATTTAGAGGTGCACCGAAATGGAAATTTCAAAACCGAAATAAAAAAAAATTGTCAGACCAAAACCGAAAATGTTTTTTATTTAATTTAAAAAAAAATAATATTTTTTTATTTATTTTTATAAACTTTTTCATTTTTTAATATTTATTTTTATTTATTACACAACGTCCTCAATCTCTTTTTCTGCATAGCCTGTTATCAATAAGCAGGAATCATCTATACTGAGTGTTCCTGTTCATTCATAACTTGAGAACATTGTGTGTTTACTATAACCACAATCATGAATGAACAGGAAGTGATGTAGATCACTTCCCATTCATTCATAATTGAGGATATAGTAACCATACCATGTCCTCAATTATCTACAAACACTCAGCGATCACTGAACGCTGAGTGTTTGCACTTACTCTCCTCTCTGACACGCTGTCACAGGAGGCTGAGCGAAGGGTGCGGGGAGGAGAGATGAGCCTCCTGTGACAGCGCTGGCTGTCTCCGCCCACGCAACACTCTGTCGGACTGTGATAGGAGGCTGTGCGGTGTGGGAGGAGGGACGCCGGCCGCTCACAGCGCTCTCCTCCCACATCGCTTGGCCGGCTGTCACAGTTTCTCTCCTCCCCGCTGGGACACAGAGCAGCGCCCAGCGGGGAGGAAAGAAAGTGCGGATGCTCCGCTATATCGGCAGGAAAATGGCACTTCTGGCATTTAGCCAAAAGTGCCATTTTCGGGCGATATGTTTCGGTGGCC